ACCATTTTTGGAGGAGAGGGCAAATACCTTAGTAGTCACAGCCGGCTCTCACTCCCGAGGCCTAACATCCTGACGATTTGTCACGTCCCGCAGCGTTCCTGAGGAACGCGAAAGGTGACCTTCCACAATCTTATGCTAAGCGCCGGGTTATGGGTGAAATCCAGTAGAATGACGCTCCCGCGGTAATACACGTTCCAGCCATGTATTCAAGCCCTAACCCTAACCATAACCTTATCCCAAACCTTAACCAGCACTTTAATGACATCAAATAGTGTTTTCCAAAGCAATTTAAGTAAAATGACGAACATGTGTAGATTGAGTCCAAACGGTTCTCATGTTTCCAATCTCCTCATTTAGGGACGTGTTTGGTGCCCGGAAGCGTAATATGTTGACGATTTGTCACCGAGCATAAAATATTACGGTTTGGGAGTGAGAATGTGTTGGTAGTTAGCTAATGCTAACAAGCTGCATCTGTGGACTTTACACCAATCAGGCCTCTGACAGGTGAAGCGAATAACACTGATTATCTCTTCACCATTGGATGGGATATATTAGGGAGCATGTGAGCATTTTGTCCTCAAAGTTGATGTGTTAGGCGCAGGAAAATTGGGCCTTTTTTCCCATCATGTAGATGCGTGTGTGCTTTGCTTACCTGGAGAACACCTGGCACCAGGATGCACTAAGGGAAGAAATACAACTGACAGAGGCAGTCTGTTGCTTTGGACAATGTTCTGCTGGGAAACCTTGGGTCCTACCATCCATGTGGATGTTACTTTGACAAGTAACAACTACCTAAGCATTGTTGCAGACCACGTATGCTCTTTCATGGAAATTGTATTCCCTGTTGGCTGTAACCTCTGTCAGCAGGACAATGAACCCTGCCACGAAACAAAAATAGTTCAGGAATGGTTTGGCAGCACAACAATGAGTTTGAGATGTTGAGTTGACCCCCAAATTCTCCAGATTTCATTCCAATTCCAACACAACATTAGCAAGGTGTTCATAATGTTATACCTGATTAATATATAGGTACAACACACAGACGCAGACAACTGTTAATTTAGTGCTAAGTTACATACATTTAAAATGCTACACATTTATTTGGCAAAGCTACACCATACAAACACCTGAAAAGAAAGCCATTTTAAATGTCATAGTTGCATTAAAAGGCTCCAGAGGGCACCAAAAACATGACCCAAAGCTCAGTTCAGTGACCAGAATGTGCTGAGGTGATATCTACTACACCACTTGTGGCTAGTCACCTTTGTAGGTATACAGTCAAAGCAGCCACGCCCCTAATTTTGAGCCTTCAAAACCTGAAAAGGCTGAGTAATAGGAAAAAAATTGAATGGTACAGTTGTTATAAATGGACCAAGCAAGAAACATACTTTTTTTGAACTTTTAACAAGGGACCCTATGGGGATTGATTCTCTTTCTTAAGTCTCAAGTGGTCTTTGAAGGAGCTGCTGTTCTGCTTTGGTTTCATTTGTCACTCCCAGAGACTGCTGCTTACTAAGCTGTTATCACTGTGTCTGGAGATACGTGTAGGTCCAGTTTTATTATATTTACAGGAGGTTCAGAGAATGCGCTTGAATGAAGAGTGAACACAGATTGCTTTCCTGTAAACACAGAAGTTGCAGGATGGTGAGGGGAAGAGAGACGTGTTGAAATCTGCCTGTACTATGACCCATCCCCTCCCTCTTCTTCTTTGAATCCCACCCCTCTCACTCTCTCTGTGTCTCTTTCCCACCCTCTGCGAGATTACCGTTACCATAGTAACCGTGGTTGTGGCTGCTATGGCAACACACATATGCTTGTGTTTCCTTGCTGTCAGTGTGTAGGATGCTCACGTGCACACACACACACACACACACACACACACACACACACACACACACACACACACACACACACACACACAAGGCTCTGAATTGCAGCATGTAACAATAGCTTGCTCAGTAAAGATTAAAGGGACCGCAGCGTCGAGTCATTTTGTAAATGGCTTATGATTTATGCAGCAGATTCTATGCACTTTGTATCAGTGCCAAGGCTCTACAGGAGCGGCTGTAAGCCGGACACATGGGGCTGCATGAGACGGTGTGATGGTGGATGAGTGTGATCATCACAGCCCATTGAAAATATCAATTTTTGATAGAGAGGAAAGAATAAGAAAGCTGGCATTAGAGTAATTGCTGGATTACATAAGTCATTTCATCACAGATAGATAGATAGATAGATAGATAGATAGATAGATAGATAGATAGATAGATAGATAGATAGATAGATAGATAGATAGATAGATAGATAGATCCCATCAACATACAATCCTCTACATGCACACACTTCCAGATGCAGTATCTTTTGCCATGTATTTATTCATCTCTCTCCATATATATATATAGCGTGCATGCTTTTGAGGTAGAGTGTTTCCATGGAAACAGTCACAGAGCGGGAAGGCTAGGGGTGAGGGAGTGAAATAGTTAAGAGAGAGAGTGTGTGTCTGTGTGTGTGTGGGATGACAGTGAAGTGAATTCAAGTTCATCTGACATAAACATTGCTGTCCTCATGTACATGCACTTACACACTCCCACGCACAATAACCATACCCTCTGCATGAGGGTATGGCACTGCTGAGTGCTGTGTGTGTGTGTGTGTGTGTTGTTTTAGTTGCAGGGAAGTGAAATTATTCCACCTGACACACACTTCTGACACCCGATAGAAACTGCATTGCTCATGTGCGTGTCCCTTCAGCTCCAGGAAAAATTAACTTCAAATCGCTCATAGATTTTAAATTATGTCCGAGCAGTTATTTCAAATTGTATATTTAGTGAATATTTAAGCTGTTTGGTTGTAGATTTTTTTTCATCTCTTTGTAATTATCTTATGATGAGGACAATGGATAAGCTGGATTTTAATAATGTTTTTTAATCACAGTTCTCATGGCTGTGTTTGGCAGCCGTTCATGCAGAAATCAACCCCCAGACAGGACGACAGAGAACATAATTTAGCTTAAAGTCTTAAAACAGAGTGAAGCAACTACCCCGACTGTGTGAATAAAGGTAAAAAAAATCCACCTGCCAGAACCTCTAAAGCTCGCTAATGAGCTCCTTTTTTGAAGCATACGTTTTCAGAGTGTGGTCTGACTGCTGTTTCTTGGTCAGAAACAGTAACTTCGTGGAATCTCTGCTGGTTGCATGGCAAAAGATTTCAGCCCAGAATGACTGCTATTTTCAAATCACTTGTTCATGCGCTTGTTGTTCATATGTAATGTGCACTGGATTTGGTCCTCGACTGTGTTAGACAGCAACCCTTCGACTTGATTACGATTTGGGTCTGTGACAAAGAGGACAGAGAAGCAACATTAACCACAGAAGAAAAATCCTGCCAATGGTGTGTGCTGCCCCTCGGCGACAGTCACAAGTTTCTTTTCTTCTCAAGGTTGTCTCTTGTGCTACAGTCACCATAGGAAGAACAGTAGATAGAGACTGTAGCAGAACCGCAGTTAAGGCCGTAAACAAAGAACTTGTAATCACTCGCAGTTGTCGTCTCCAAAGCGACTTTGGCACATTAAGATGATGATAAAATGGCAATAAGACGAAGTCAGTCTGCTATCAGTTTGATTGATCGTGGTCGAATTGGCAGTTACATGCAGTCTTATGCAGTGTGATAAATTAGCTTACAGAATTTCGCATTAATTAGAAATTCACAGAAACTAAGAGTCCAGACAAAACATGAGATTTGAGACATTCCTTCACAAATAGAGACATCGTTGTGGCAGGATTGTGATTTAACTGTAAAATGATTAAGGAGCTTGGCAGCCTTTCTTTTTAATTTAAGCATGAAACCAGGACACAACTAGCTGAGTCTCCAATTGAAACGAGACTGGTTGCAGACTTACTCAGATTGATCGCAATGTGTTGGGAATCTCTCTGCAAACTTAAGCCACACTGATCATTTTCGTTGCACTCACTCTGCTTTGACAGTCTGATCCTGTGAGATGAATTCACAGTGTGTGCACTGGTAAATGTCACAAAACAAGCATATTCCTTGTCCACGCTGACCTTAACCGTCACCTTCAGGCACTGCAGATTCATCCATGTAAAAACTCATGTTTGCTTCTAATATTGTAGTTGCAGAACCAGCTGTCATTACCAGCGATGATCAGAGGCATGGTAGCTGACTCAGTTGGACACAGATGTTCTTAAATGATGTATAAAACTCAAATGGAGAGACTGGTCTGAAAAGAAAATAGCAGCTACTATCAAAACAATCTGTAGATGGGTACATGTATAAGACTGAATGATAAGGGTCAGCCGTCAAAGTCGGATTGATATGGTTGTTAATTGTTTTTAATGCTGGAGATGTCGAATTTTTTTCTCACACCTTGTACAACGTGTTTGTTACGTTTGAAGGATGAAGTACTGAGTGACTAATGTTTCCCTGTGTATCCAGTCTTTGTGCTAAGCTACCTACCTGCTGACTGTAGCTTTTATTTAACAGATAGAGGTTTGATATGAACTTTTTCATCCAGCTCGTGATGGGGAAATATCAGAGGGCAAATACACAAAATTTCACACTGAATGTCACAACAGAAAAGGTGAACTCATTGGCAGCGATTGAAATGTATTATTTGACATTTAGGGATGACATAATTTACTGAAATTCATTTTCTTTAGTCCCGTCTTAAAGACATCATCTGCTGTTCTGTTGATGACTAATGTATATCTATTTATGGAAGAGCTGGTTCGACATTAGTTGATAGCTGTTTCTTGGCAGATGACGAATTTATGCAATATCACTGGGTTTGTCAGAAAAGATGCTTAAAAAAATAAGTCGATGTGCAATAAAACTTTAATGATTGGAGAACTGAGTAATGGAACCTGAATGGATGTAGATATATAGAACAAATAAGACATTTGTGAAATGCCAGTGACAAGGATATTTTCCAGCAAGTGATATATGCGTCAGTCTGTTTCTTTCCTCAATGTTTTCTTCTGCAGGTACCTGATGAATGTGACGTTTGAGGGACGAAATCTGTCGTTCAGTGAGGACGGATACCAGATGCATCCCAAGCTGGTCATCATTCTGCTCAACAAGGAGAGACAGTGGGACAGGGTGAGACAGAGGGAGACACTGACGGTCTGTGTGTGTGTCGGGGGGGAGGATAAGACACTCATATGAAAAAAAAACAGCCGATGTGCACAAAATTATAAGTCCTGACTAACCTAATTGTCCTCTGTTGTTAACAGTAAAACATTTTGTAAACTGTTAAAATGAATAGAAGCAATGAGTTAGCTGTTCCCTATGAAGTCCGCGAGTATCTGTGTGTTTTTATCTGGATCTCTTATCGTCTGATTTTCACTTTTCAAGCATTTTAAGCCTTATAGACGCAACTCTGATTAGATATTATCAGCTCAGTGAAGGTGCCTTTGAGCAATGCACTGCAGCAGAGGCTCCAGAGTGGTGATGTGTTATTTGAACGCTGCTCCACAGCTGTTTTAATTTCAAAACTTGGTTAACAGTTGCCTATTTGTTATGCGGCTTTTTTTTTTGTTACAAAATCCTGGTTATGCGCTGTCTCCAAAAAAATCTGTTTGTTTCACTAAAAAGATGTCAAGACACCCTTAAGAACTAACAGGCAGCAAGTTATTGTAAAGACTGGGTGGGACAAGGAGATCAAGGTAAATATATGGAGTGAAACTGTATTCTCTGAGTAGAATATGTCATTTTTTTTATACCATCTCATACATACAGATATCCATTCATACATTTACAGACATCCTGATAATAAAAAAGTATAAGGCTAGAAAGACATCAATGATCTTAGAGAAGCAATTGTTGCTCCGCATCAATCTGGCAAGGGTTATAAGGTCATTTCCAAACAATCTGAGATTGATCATTCTGACTTACAAGTGGAAAACTCCAAAGACCTACACCAAACTTAGTGGAGGTCCCAGTAAATTCACCCCAAGGTCAGATCGTTTAATGCTCAGAGAAATTGCTACAAACAACAGAAGTGCTATATCTCAGACTCTTCAGACCTCAGTTAGCATGTTAAATGTTAAAGTTCATGACAGTACAATTAGAAAAAGAATGAAAAAATATGTTTTTTCAAAGGGTTTTCAGGAGAAAGCCTCTTCACTAAAAACAGCAGCAGCACTGCTCAGGTTTGCAAAGGTGCATCCGAACAAACCACAAGACATCTGGAACAATGTCCTTTCGACAGATGGGACATGAGTGGAGATGTCTGGCCATAATGCCCAACCCACATTTGAAGAAATTCAAATGCAGCATATCAGCATAAACACCTCATACCAACTGTGAAGCACAGTGGTGGAGGTGGCTGTAAAGTCAATTCAGTGACCTTACAGCCATTGAGTCGGCCATGAGTCCTCTGCATACCAAAGTATTCTCGAGTCAAATACGAGTCCATGTGTCTGACAGCTAATGCTTGGCTTAAAATTGGGCCGTGGAACAGGACGACGATCCCAAGCACAGCAAATATACAACAGAGTGGCTGAAAAAGAAAAGAAAAGTATTGCCCAGTCACATACAACCTGATAAAAATGCAGTGGAATCTTAAGTTAGCTGTGCATGAATGAACACCTGCAAATCTCAATGAACTGAAGCAACATTGCAAAAAAGACTGGGACAAAATTCCTCCACATTGACATGAGAGAAAGTCATACAGAAAACAATTACTGCAAGTTATGCTGCTAAATGTGGTTCTACAAGCTAGTGAATCATGTGGTCTACGTAGTTTCTCACCGTGCATTTTGGCTTGATTTTTGTTAAATAAATAACGAAACGGTGTAATGAATCATCTATTCTGGTTCATTCTGTTTACCTAAACCTCGTGCAGACTAGATATTTAAAACTTAGAACTGACAGAGGATGGGCAACAATAATTTGACAAATTAATGCTGTTGAAACTTTACTGGCCCTACTTTGTAAATGCCCAACAAAACGCAAGATTTGTTTAAGCTAGCTCTGTAGCGTTTTGAACAATGAACAATTTCTCGTTCTTCACCTTAAAAAAACAACAAAAACTAAAGAGCTGTCCTTACTTTGAAAGCTTTCATCCTGGCAGCAGTGTGAGGTGAGGGATTTTTTTTCTGCAGTGGCAGAATATGGAACACAAGTCACTAAAAAGGCCTTCGTTTTTCCTCCATGGATAGATAGATAGATTTTGACTCAAGACGGGTGAAAAAAACAACACTTTTGTTCCGTGTCCACTACTTGCGGTCATGTTGGAGTACTGTTTTGCCTGCCAGGGTGTTGAGACGGTCACATGACGATCACATGACTGAAAACTATGGATTCATAAAATAATGTAATTTTGGTCCTGTTGAAACAAAGAACGCCTTAAGGGTGTGATCTGGACTTGCTGCCATTAGCAGCATTAACTGACACAACGTTGAGTTGAGCCGTGATTATGATGACATTATTTAAGACAATGTGTGTAGAACAAGTTGCTCATACACTGATAATATTCTAACTGTTACCTGCTGTGGACAAAAGTAGACTCCCAACTTCCAGTGGCTTTTTTTATTAGCATGTTCTGCTAACGCTTCCACGCTCCCACAGAACAAAGGCATGCAGGTTTGAGTAACTGTGTGGTAAAATTGCCCGTGAACACAGAGGTGAATGGCTGTCCGTTTATGTGTCAGCTCTGTGATTGACTGCCAGCCTGCCCAGTTTGTATCCTTCCTCTTGCATAATGCAAACTGGGATTGGTTTCCGCCTCCTTATAACCGTCACACATGAGCAGTTATAGCTAAAGAATGGAGAGATGAGATTGAGTCTGATGCACAGAAATGGTTCAGGCACTGCACTGTGCCACAGGCCTTTAAAGCTGAGAGGTTGAAAGTTCAGCTGCGAGAGAGTTGCTGACTCGCGTATCGAAACGTACGACTTAATGAATAACAACTAAATGTCAGTCAAACTTTAAATGTAAAACTTCCGTTCAGTGAATGAAGGTGCAGATTTTTCATTGTACAGACTGGGAAAAAAGTCTCCAAGCACAGGTGGAAAAGAAGATGGTAGTGAACATATGGCAACAATAATCCCGTGTCCACAACCTTAAATAAACCTGACGCATCACCACCTGCCAAGTCACCGGCATGCATCTGTGTTTCCTGATGCTTACCCTCTATTGTTTCTGTGTCCTGCAGTCTGACTCCTTTGACTCTCCCTATTCTTTATTCTCTGTATTTCTCTCTTTCTTCTGCCTCTCTAATCTATATTCTGTCCTCTGATCGGAGAACAAGGTGAAACTCTCCCCTCCTCTCTCTCCTTTCTATCCCGTTCTCCCCTTGCAGCCTGAACCACCCCATCCCTTTTCCTCCTCCTCCTCCTCCTATTCCCTCGCTCATGTTTAATTCTTAGCTTGACTTCCAGCTGAACCACTTTTCTTGGATCCTAATGAGTTCCAGCTACAAACATCCTTCCACTGCATCTTTGAAGTAGCAGGTATACTGTAGTACCCAGTCATGCTTTTTGCCCTGGCTGGTTGATTTTAACCCTTCAATACACCCCACTCATTTCTTAGTCCCCCACCTCCATCTCTGTCTCTCTCCATCACTTGCTCCAGCTCACTACCCCCCCCCCCTTTTTTTTTGTCCCAACAGGAAAAAGGCTGCATTGTGTCCCAGAGATACACAGCCTTAGTTTGTCCACTCCAGGCAGCCTTGCCAAGTTTGTGCTCCCCAGAGTCCAATGTGTTTGAGCACATTTACATATTTAATGAGAGTGCAAACCTAACTTTACATACTCACACGACAGCTCCCTGTCCTCCCCTGCCTCGCATTATACCGAGTCCAATTAGCTGATGATCCATTCCCACTTCCACCCACGTCTTTCCGCTCATAAAAATGGCCTACTTGGCACAACTGGAGGAAAGGGCACAGGCATAGTCTCCAGGTATGGTTTTATGTGAGAGCCATCCGGGGGAAATTGACTAATTGATGACGCTTATTCAGTGGAGTAGAGCCACAAGGGCTAGAGGGTCCTCCAGACCTACAGCTGGACACTCCTCTACAGAAGAGCCTGTATTTTGCATTTGAATGAGCTCCATCTCTGGCTTTCTTTCTCTGTCATCCCGACACTCACTTGGCTCTTTCTCTTACTTTAAACTCTCCCTTTCTCTCTGCAAAATTAGCTGCTTCTCATCTCTTTTTTTCTTCAATTAATCTCTCCATCCACTTCTGTATTTCTCTACCCGTCCTCTACGCTCTATCTGAATTCTGCACTTTCCCTCTGTTTCAGTCTCGCCCTTCAGAATAACCTTGTTCTCATTCTCTACTCTGTGTCCCAGTCCTCTCCTCTCCTCTCCTCTCCTCTCTTTTTTACACACTCTCTTGAAATATTAATTTCACTTACTGAGTTGAGAGGTGAACAAACAAAACAAAAAAGTTATGGCATCTCTCTCTGTGAGTGTTCTGTTCTCCTGTTAGACACGAGGCTAGAGTGGAAGGAGTCGTGCACGAGACTGACGAAGCGAAAGGTAGAAGCTCTGGTCAGGATGACAGAGAAGCGGAGGACAGTGAAGGTAGTGGACAGACGAGAATAAAGGCAGCTGAAGCTGAAAATCAGAGTATAACTACAGGTTGTTTGAACGCCATAAATCTTGAAAATAAAGAGTTATAAATGCTTGAGGGTGAGTCTTTGTAGCAATCCTCAGATATTGTATCACGAGACGAGCGCCAACAGTCGTACGCCTGTTACTTTTTTGATAAAACCCTTGGAAGACCGTCTGTGGGAGTCAGACTATTCCCCAGACTTTTCTGTTTTAAAGATGAGGAGAGCGGTTGGTCACGAACAGCTAAGTAAACAAAAAGGGTTTTGTGTAAAGAAGATACTGACTAAACTTAGGAAGGAAAAACGGGGAACTTTAAATATCAGTGGGGGCAGGGATAGAGAAACAAAGCTTGCTCAGGGAGGGGCAAGCTCAGGTGGCTGCCCCTCCCTCAGCTTGGTTCTCCCCAAGATTTCTTCCTGTTAAAAGGGAGATTTTCCTTCCCAATGTCGCCAAGTGATTGCTCATTGTGGGTCATCAGGTTGTTGAGGTTTTCTGAGGCACGCTGAGACAACTGCTGATGGGATTTGGTGCTATATTATATAAATAAAATTGACATGAACTGAAAAATTAAATCATAATTAAAACAGTTAAATAATGGCTCAGTAGTCGTGGGATTGTAAACGTACCACCCATCCTTCAGCTGGTAGAATTACAGGGGAACCTTATACACCTTCAGCTTCCCTTCTGTCCACCGTCATAATTAAAAATGGTCTTAGAGACATCTGGAGGAAGCTTCAGATGTGAGAAAATACACATATGTGGAATCTCTGAAGGCAGCTGGAGGGCAGCCAGGCTTGATAGAATTTAGGTTAATCAATTTTACAGTAATACGCTGGTTAAAGCAGCAATACCACCTGTTGGTTTCTTTGATCACCATTTAGTGATTTTTAGGCATCTCTTTGCTGGCATGCTGTTACCATATTGTCACTTTAATGTGCGACTGACCCATAACAGAGAGTTCTGGCAGGATTTCTCTGACTTCTGGAGTCACTGGAGACTTGAAAACAAAAAGATGTTGACAATCTGTCTCAATGGGGAGATCTAAGAAAAACACAGGTTAGTTTTGTTGGAATTCTTCTCACCAAAAATACACGGTGACACAATAGCTATTGGACAAAACTGTTTTCAGGAGTTAGAAAAGGAAATCAGGTTGTTACAGGGTAGAATTATTAGTTTGATAGTGAAAACACCACTTGGGATAGCAGGAAGTGGCTTTAGGTGGGGTTCTTCTAAAAATGTGATTTAATTAAAACTCAGGAAACTGGGGTAAGATCTCTATGACTTCTGGAAAAGCTACGAGAAGAAGTCCCTATTGCCTCTCTAAAAAGCCATCCTGGTATCTTTAGAGAGAAAGTAGGGACTCACTTTCCAGACAACAGGTGGATCTTGGTGCTTGACTTTCCATCATTATTAATTTGTGCTACAGTGGGGAAGCAGGATGAAGAAGGATCGCCATTATCTTTTTTAAACCTGAACTACTTAACTGGTGTTGAAGAAAGCTTTGTACGCCGTGGCTGGCAAAGTTGTCAAAAAAGCATCACTGGCCGCTTTAGGTGGTTTGGCGTGTCGGCTTGGGGTCGTCTCCTAGGGGCAGTTGGAGATCCTTGTACAAACCTTCCATAGAGAAATGCCGTGTGGATCTCCAGTGGTGTGTTCACCAGAGAATGGTGTGGCTAGAAACAGACATGTGATCCAAGAGCAGGAAGCCACTGTTTTCTTTCTGTTAGGCTTAGAAAACTTTGAAACACCTGTGGCTTGTCTGTCCCACAAGCTTTCTGCAGTGTAGGAAGGTTTGTTTAATGAACATCTAATAGACTAATGTAAGCATGGGCTCATGAAGAGTAACCTAATGAATGGGACAGGATCTCTAAATGTTAAATTTATGAATTTTTTAGTATGAAAATCAAAGGATATGCCATCTATTTTAGCGGGTTTCTCCTGGGGTGAGTGGAGCAATTGTACATATATTAAACTTTCATTTGAATTTTCTTGTTTTAAATGAAAAGTTTAACCGATAAAGAATCTGTCAAAGGTAAAAGTCACCTCTCATCTCAAAATCACAAAAATACAGAAAGTAGAAAAAGAAGCTCTAAAATTATATTGAGATATTTTTGCTTGAACACCATGCAGGATCGCTGGTGATATATTTCAGAGCTGTTTGCAGTTGCAGAGCTGCAGTTATTTTTTTATGGTCTTGAGTTACTGCAGTGTGAAATTTAATCCAAATTCTTGTTTTTATTTTGATTTCTGCCATTTGATGTGTTTCACTGTTATTTTCGGCACTTCAAGGCTCAATCACAAAAGACGAAAATAAAAAGACTGCAAGTCTCTCCGTGATTACTATTAAGCAACTACATAAAGGAATAAAGTCTTACTTGGTGTGTGATTTTAAAGGCAGACTTACTCTCTTTTGTTTTCTCGATGTTTCTCCAGGTGGGTAAATGGGAGAACGGTTCCCTGTCCATGAAGTACCATGTGTGGCCTCGCTATGAACTATACGGGGGACCAGCAAACAGAGAGGATGACCACCTGTCCATCGTGACATTGGAGGAGGCTCCGTTCGTCATTGTGGAAGACGTGGATCCGCTTAGTGGGACGTGCATGAGGAACACTGTACCCTGCCGGAAACAGATCAAATCAGTGTGAGGCTCAAATTTCACGTGTAGAAAATCTGTGTCAGATTAATGCTGAAATGCCTGAGAATCAAACGTAAGAATGCGTTACAAGACAAAAACGAATTTCCACCGAGTAAAAGGTTAGATTAGTGTGAGTTTTTACACATATTTTTCCTGCCATCTGCCACTGTAGCTCACAGATCCACCTACTGCAGAACTGACCGAAGCAGAAATGAAAAGCCTGGCAACTGCCTAAAATTTGCTTGTGAATGATGTTAATTTCCCACGGCAGCTTTGCGGAGCCCGAGGTGGAATCATTTCACACTTCATCGGTGTGACAGTGACAGTGCCAGAAACACCAAATCACTTTTACAATTAATGATTCATGGCCATTCACACAGATGTACATTTTTAATTAAATAATTGTCCATCTGTCCTTTTATGCAGCAATCAGACAAAAGAGTCAGGGATCTACATCAAGCGTTGCTGTAAGGGTTTCTGCATCGACATCCTGAAGAAGATTGCCAAGTCAGTCAAATTTACCTATGACCTTTACCTGGTCACCAATGGAAAACATGGCAAGAAAGTCAATGGAACTTGGAACGGCATGGTGGGAGAGGTAAGGATGCAATACGTCTGTTTGTGTCTTATTTTTTAATTTTGCACACCTTGACTCCATTACTTGCAGAAGTGACAGTTCTGCATGTAATGGAGACGATATCATCAAAAAGGATATCCACTAATAATGTTCTGGGGAAACGGAAACTTCTCATTGTCATGCATGTGCAAATTATATGACAGTTGCACTTATTTCCATCAGGACTGCTACTGTCAAAATAAAATTATGCCCATCTGCAGTCATTTCTTGCAAGACCCCCCATACAAAACAGAGCAGACATCAATGACAGCAGAGACAGCATTAAAATAAGGGCTTAGTCATACAGACCTGGAGGCCAACCAACTGTCAACCACCAGTTGTGACGGAAAGATAAAAATGGATGTTCCTGACCAGTTGCGAGTGATTGGTGGAGTTTGCTGTCTGATGCTAGCACCAAAAATTCCTTGTGATTTACTCTCTGAGTAAAAAGCACAATGCAAATCAGAAACTACCCTTCAACCAATTACATGCACTGGCATATTCTGCCAGGGAGGTCACGAACTACCAGAAATCAATCACAATCAGTTTAGACACATCATACATACATCATGGCCTAGCAGACCATTGTCGACATGTTGTAGTTTTTCACTGTCACCAGGGGGCAGTGTGACAAACAGTCTGTGGACTCTTGCTTGTGTTGTTATTGGTCCATTAACCAGCTATGGACAAGAACAAAGGTATATGATACATAGAGCTGAATTGAACCCGAATGTTAAAAACAATGAAAAATGTCCACTACAGCCACCAGCCAGGCTTCTCTGCTGTATTTCTCGTGCTTCACCCATTTGTGGTAATGGCCGCTGTTGCTCCCTTCCCTGTTCTGACCCACTTTTCCAGTCAGTCAGCATTGTGTTTTTGGAGGATTGGACGCAAGTATGTTTCCTTAGGTTAAAAAGCCCTCTCTGGAGGGCACAAACATAACCAAAAAAACACAAAATAAGAAAAACAGTGTGAAAAAAGTAGCTGGGGGTGGAGGTGGGTTGCAAAGTGGCTTGGAGATGCAAGATCAACTTTAGGCAGGCTAAAGCAACTCTCTAAACCCAGCTGAATGAGTATGAAGTATATAAGCTGGTGTGGACTGGCACTGAGGCTTCCTCATATCCACTGATCTGCTCAGAGAACAGCCTGAGCTCGGTTTGAAGTAACAATAAAAGGTGCCATTTCAAAACTATTGGCGCTACAAAATGAATAAATTGGACAGCAGAAATATAAAGTCAAAGCTGTGTACCCTTTGCCTCTTACTGCATCGTTATATCGGCTGCTTGTTGTTTTTACCATGCAGCCAGTGTGATTCTTTTTTCTCTTGTTCTGCTGAAATGAGCGGACCGCATTAGGATGCTTGGAGTTACTGCCAAGTTGGAGGTGAAGGTGAATAAAAGATCAAAGGGGAAACAAAGTTACTGTCTGCTTTCAATGTCCTGAGCTATTTTTAACTCACACAGGGGCTGCCTGAAGGGTTCGTTTCCTCTTTGAAGCTCGTTTTCATACCTTGAATTATAAGCTTCCCTTTCCGGGTCAAGCTTCTGCCACACGGGCCTAATTCTTATGTCAGATGGGTTAAGCACCTCACCCCAGGTTCAGCTCAGTCAGCTGCAACAATTCACTGCGGGCTTGAAACATTTCCTAATCGACATTGCTCCCAAGCTAAGGTCGTTGTCAGTTCTCATACTTCAACCTATAAGAGCGAACTGCACTTGTGCTGTCTGACGTTGGCCATTTGTTAATGAAGGCAAACAGATCAATAGGACCCCAAAGGTCACGGGTTGAGAACATGTTTTGTCAGAGTTGCTACTGAAGGACTTTGGCTTTGCCCAACTTTGCGTGGATAATAAAGTTCGAGCAGCCTTCGGAAGTCACAGAAGACAGAGACGAGATGAGTTTACGTGTCTGCTTTTTCCTGCGTGGACACTTTTGCTATTCAATTTACTGACACATTTAATCTCTTACATAAAGCCATTACAGTCAACCTCTCTTTAGTGGGCACCGAGCTGTAAGTGTGGCCACCTGTAATAAACTCTATCGCCATGACTAAAAGCGTCGTAATGTACCATCTCCTTCTCACCTCCACAGATGAATGGTCATTAGGAGAATAGACGGGGGGAGGGGGGCATTTATCCACCTCTCTTGCACATGCAGACAGCAGACTCTAATGTCTGAGTAAGCACAGAAAAACATGAACCAAAGCAGACACGTAGACACAAAGAAACCCTATTTGGTGATACCGTTTCTTTATGTTGCACTTGTAAGGTCAGATTTACACTCTCACACTTCAGCAAAGCTCCGCCATAACTGCTGGATCTAACTAAATCCGACCTGCGTCCTTCTCCGCTTGGAGAACAGCCAAAACTGCAGCATATCTCACATTGACGGCGGACCGAGATCTGGACCGACGGCGACGCACGCTTGCACACGAAACATATCTCGCAGAGATCATCGAGGGCGTTTTCAAAATTTGCCACAGCTCACAAAGACAAAAGATCAAATTTAAAAAAAGAAAAAAGAAAATCAATGAATGTGATGAGAAGTCCTACATTTTGTCCTAACTCAATTCTAGCAGTTAGTGTCACATTTCATGGGCTGCACTGACTTGCGCTGCCCCCAGTGCACCTAATCTAAAATATTAGAGGCAATACGCTTGATTACATGAATTTTAGCCTCGCTAGCAGAGACGCATAAAGACTGGCACGCGCGCACACACACACACACCAGCCAAGACACATAAACAATCGCAAACGCAGAACCTCGCTCACTCATTCTCAATAACACCCACATGGGTCACTTTCATAACACGGAGAGAACAAGTCGTAGGAGGGAGATGGAGAGAGCGAACGGGGAGAGAGGAAGTGAGTACGCTGCTGGTTGGACTCGCTGTCTTCCCCACGGAGATGTTCGCACATTAAGGCACGCACACACAAAGGCAATCACGCACATCCATACTCATATGCTGGCAGAATAAGCAAGATCGGAAAGTTACAAATGCACACATGCTGCACACATGCTGCACACACATAAACACTTGACAAAAAAAAAAGCATTGCAGATAATGTGCAGAGCAGATGTGGAATATTCTCCCTGCCTGTAAAGGTCCACTTCACAGGTAGCGAACAAAGGTTCACTCGCTTCTCTTTGTCTTTTTCCCTTTTATGACTCACTGTTGCGTGCGCGCACTCACTCTAACACTGAAGCACACAGCGGAGCTTTGACTCACACTAGTCACACACGCCTTATTAACTCAGAGAGACAGTCCTGTCCCACTTGTGCTGTAGGGCTGTAGAAATTTGGGGCTAAATATACTACCTGTGCAGAGGTATGGAAGGGGAGGAAGGCAGGTAGAGGAAGGCATTGGGGCGGCTATTTCAAGCAGCCCTGACCCACTGTGGTAACCCACTTACTCCCTCCCTCTTTGTGTCTTTCTCCCCCTCTCCGTCCCCTGGCGAGCGTCACGAGTGTCCAGTCCGAGTGCTATATGTGTGGAAAGTGTGCTGTCTCGATCTACCGCGCTCCATCTTTGTCTCCATTGCCTCCATTTTCTTAGCCTCATGTTTCTTTGCACACTTTTGTTTCCTTTCTTTCCTAACCTCATATCAAATTTAATCTCCCTCGTATGCCGGAAAACTCTTTTGGACAGCTAGCAGATAGAGAGTACCCTGTCTGCATCATGTTTTATACATGTTAATGGACAAGGAGAAGGGAACTACAAAGGAACTACAACTTTTCTCCCTTTCTCAGAACAAAGTTTAACTTGAGGAACTGAGCTGTGGTTTTGTTCTTTGGAGAGGTTGGTGTTTCAGCCTCTTTTGCTCCGCGTGGTTACTGAAGACGAGGGTAAAGTGTTGTATGTATTCTGGGACAGATGTTATTGGAAGGAAGTGAGCAGCTTGACAAGAAGACCGAAAATAAGGTCCACTCTAAAGTTTAAAGTGTTCACCAACCAGAAATCAAATCTACATGCTTTTTCCTCCAGCCTGCAGTGCCGTCTGTCATTGAGATTCTTTTAATGTGCATTTTAAAATATATCTGCTGTGGAAATGTCTGCTTTCTCTTGAATATTCTCTTGAATAAAAAATCACTTTAAAAAATCCACAATCCCTGTTGTGAGCAGTTTAATATAGGAACCAATTTCCTTCTATCAAACTACACCCAGCAATTGTATCAGTCAGCCGAAGAAAGCATCCATCCTCCCTTCAGGAGAGGCTCGTGGGTACAACAGCGAGACATTACTGCTAAATTTTTCAAATGTGTTTTTTGGAACTTTTTCCCTCATGAAAGAAAACTGCTTTCAGCTGCTCCCTTATTAAAAAAAGAGTCGCCAGAGAAGGTGGTGCCACATATTTGATTTGCCAGATTTGCCCTTCCTGACACAACCGTGAAGGAGTTTGTGTCCATTCCTGGGATCAAACTGGGGATCTTTTGTTTGTTAGGTGAATGTGCCAAATCAAGTCCCATTTATATCCTTTATATTTAAGAGAAGGCCGACATCCCTTCAGCTGATATCTTTAAAACTGTGAAACTGACAAAAAACACTAGGGGATAAATACAGGACAGAGAAAAAAAACCCCTAAATTTAATTTTGGTCCCAATAATCCCTTTAATATGTCTTCCATAAACAAAGCATAGGTCTAACTCATGCTTTCTATGACCTTTAGATATCTGGAGCTAGGGAGGCAGTACATAATCAGGTCTGTTTGTTTGTTTGTCTGTTTTTTAGCAGTCTAGCATCCACAGTTTCAGAGATATCATTTTCAAATTATGTGTGATGCTAGATACCAATAACAGCTCGAGCTGATTGGTGAAAATCAGGTCAATTGCACACCAAAAGTGAAAATCAGTAAAACCTTTACTCACAATTTATTTTATGGGTCATCTTCAAAATTTACAAAATACTAGGCCTTAAGGGACACGAATACCTACAAGTTGGCTAAGCATCTGACCTCGACCTTTATTATTAGTGCCAGAGGTCAAAGTTGACCTTAAAAAAGTCACATATTGAGTAATGAATCACATAAAAGGGCATAGAGACAGCTGTACAACACACTTTTTATTTTTTGCGCTGTCTGAGTGCTCTTGTTAACTAATTAACTCTGTGATTACACCGGCCTTGTTTATGATCTACATAACGACCTGTGACATAGGATGCCGCCATATGCTTATGAATTGTGACCATGTGATCATCTTAAAGTCAGTACAAAAACATGTCCTATCGTGAAACCTGCTCGTTACCACTGACATGTTAGATAATCCAGAACTTCTCTGCTAAGAGGCTCGTTTTTCATTCATCCTGAAGCAGAGGGGAACCTGAATAGACGGTATAAACAGTATTTGCTTTCCACATTAATGATCTTAAACTATAAGGATGTCCACCTTTGTCTCTGTTACATCGCCAAACAGGATTGATTCACATTTAGAAAGACTGCACAGTCACCTTCAAATGAACCGATGGCTGTGATATGCTATTTTTATGCTGTTTTATGACCATAAGCTATTCTTAACTATCTCCATTGAAATAGTTTTTTGGAATGTGTTTGTTGCCACAGTACACAAGACTGCATTCATTGCCTTACTCTGCCTCTGTTATTGATAGCTGCCTGATGGATGTGTTGTGAAACAGATAACAGACACACTTTCTCTCTTTCTGCTTTTTTTTTTTTTTTGCATCTTGCCTAGGTGGTGTTAAAAAACGCTCACATGGCCGTCGGCTCCTTGACCATCAACGAGGAGAGGTCAGAGGTCATTGACTTTTCCGTCCCCTTTATTGAGACAGGCATCAGCGTCATGGTCTCTCGCAGCAATGGCACCGTTTCGCCCTCGGCTTTCTTAGGTGAGGAAGGCGAGCTGTAAAAGGTTGGGGGAGGGCGGCAGAGATGGATCAGGGGAAGAGACCAAAGGCTGTGTTTTGACCTGTGTGAGCACTGATCCAGGAGAGACCGGTCAAACTTGTAGGAATGTCTTCTTTTGTGCAGTTTATTGAAAAAAACTAAACAAAAACACAATAATGGATAAGCCACCAGGCATTTAAGCACTATTCTTAAAGGATTGATCTTCATTTGTGCTCTGATCTGGCGGGTTTTGGAAAGTTTTGTTTTTTTTAAATCAGCATTTTGAATGTAGGATGGCCTAATGGCCAGTGCACAGGAAGTGGAGTTTAATTTAGTCATGCTTAAAATGCATTGTTCTTTATCAAATGGCAAAAAATAAGAGGAAAAAGCATGCATGTTTGTTAAGCTAGCATAGACAGGCTCCTTCATTTAACTGTATGTGGACCAATGGTGCTTTTGTCCCTAGTCAGCTCCACCAAAGCCCCTTTAAAGAGAACAAAATCCCCTCTGTAGTACAGACCCATATAGTGTATGCAGTTTGTACTGGTGGTGGAGTCCAAAATGATCCATAGAGTCCACCCTGGAGGACAAATTGCATTTGAATATCTTTATATTTACACGTACAGTAAAGCTGGATCCTTTTGAACTGTACAGACTTTTTCAGTTTCACTTAAATGGTTCGACTTAACTCCTAAGAATTCTTGAAATCTTTAAGTTTAAAAGCAATTTTTGCACAAATGTCTTTTCGTTAGCCTTCCTGACAAACGGACAGTGATGACTTTTTATTACGCTGTTTGATTTTTTTCCCCTTTAAAAGTTGAACAGAAAGAGATTTAGTGGCCACGCCAAATGATAGGAGCCAAGTTTCAGCACATTTGCACAGCGAACACTGGAGTGCATGATAATACGGCTAACTGTTTTGCTCCCTGTCTCTTTGCCCTCTTATATTTCCCACTCCCACTCCATTTCTCTGATGCTTCCTTCCTCTTCTCAATCTGGCGCACCACATTTGCATATTTCTCTTGCCCTCTCCTCTCTCTTGCTTCATTTTCTCTTTCTCTCCGCCGCCCTCGCTCTTTTTCCCTCTCCCTCGCTCTCTGCTAATGTCCCTTGTCTATTCCCCGTCTTCTGCCTCCTTACACACCCCACCGCCGCCCCACCCATTTACTTATCTCTCTCTGTCCATGCTCCCCCCCTTCTCCCTTCATCTTTCTCTCCTCTTCCCTCTCTCGCTCTCTCGCCCTCCAGAGCCCTTCAGTGCGGATGTGTGGGTGATGATGTTCGTGATGCTGTTGCTGGTGTCAGCAGTGGCTGTGTTTATATTCGAGTACTTCAGCCCTGTGGGCTACAACCGGTGTCTGGCTGACGGCAGAGGTGAGAGGCTTCAGCGCAACATGCACA